CACTTTTTTGCAAAGAATTATAGCTTTGTAAAAAGGTACAACTAAGGTAATTTACATTATTAGGCCGATACAGTTAATTAAATAAAGTTTTTTCACGTAGCCCTTATATTTATAATTTGTAAAATAATAATGCGTAGATTGAATTTTCGCATTTGTTTTTTAGATATTTGCAGTCATTTACACGTCTAAACAATAGAAAATAGTCGGCGAAAAGAGTATTTTTGTTATATTCAATTAAAAAGATACAAATTATAAAATCGTGATAACGAGTGTTATTTGCTGTCTACTCGTTCGTATTTTCTTTTGACCAAAATAAAAATTTTCATCCTTTTGAGAACGGTTTTCACCCATGATATTTTATGCGCGTAAGCTTCAGAAGACCACTGTGGAAAACGTAGGTTTCAGATACTTACGTAAAGATTTAGTAGGAGCTATAAAAAAAATGTAGTCAGAAGGTTAATTTTGTAGCTTTTGTAAATTGAACACTGCGACTCGCCTAATATGTGCCATCAGATGAAGCGCCTCAACGACCATATTGGTGTATCTGACCAATTTAAATATATTTTATCAATGGATCAATTTAAATTGGTCAATTTAGAAGGTAATTTGTAGGACTACATACAGAAATTTGATCTTTGCTCAGTGAGTGATTGCAAATAAATGAAATCCTATCAGTTAGTTGGCCCTACGTTCTTACGTGTTCAAAATTAACTCAAACAAAGTTTCTTTGGCAAGCTTTAAATTTTACCAGAAGTATTAGTCAAACAATTTTCCACCATTCATCAAATTTATTTAAATTGGTCAGATACTAATATGAAAATTAAGCGTTTCGTCTGAGACTCTGAGAGTGTCGTAGCGTTCGTCTTACAACAGCAAAAAATATATCCTTCTGGCTACAATTTTTTTAAGGTCCTGCTAAACCTTAATGTACGAAACCTACGTTATCCACAGTGGCCGTTGGAGGGCACGCACATAAAGGAGATTTGGTAAAATTTATTATAAGTTCATTTAAAAACTAAACTTTGATCACCCGTTATTCCGAGTTATAAACTAGTTATCCATGCGCATCAAATTGCATTCAAATTTGTTGGGTGTTATTCGTGATTGCGTTACAAACGTAGTTTTACATAAATTCAATTTATGGTTAGAATTAATAATAGAGGAAATTAAGCCGTTCATCATTCTCTACTCGTCTAGCAAACGAAATATTAGAGTTTTACTTTATGGCAGTTTCATCCATTTGTCACTTATATTCATTCATATTATTTTACGTAGGTACTATTTTATTATGTACAGACAGCCTGAGCTTTATTTTCCTTCTTAAAGGATTCACAATTTATTGCGGAATTTGACAGATTGCCGTAACTTGAATAAGTAAGTGGCTGTCGTAACTACCTACATATAATAGGTATAATTTTATATAAAACAGTTTTCTTTGCCCAAATTTTTATGCTACAATCCTCTTACTGTCTAATAGAGCAGTGGTTCTCAAACTTTTTAAATGACGGAACCCTTTTGGGAAGCAAAATACTTGATGGAACCCTACAATAAAACAATTATTTTTATAAGTGTATTCTATATTAATCAGCATAATAAAAGTACAATGTATCCGTTACTAATTATTATTTACTTCACCACTTGGTAAGGACAATAATAGAAAACATTAAAAAAGAAAAAATCTAACTAGTGGGAGGTATGAAACTGTTTTTTATTTTTCATCAATTGCTTGATATCAGGTTTGATGGAAGAAAGTTGGAGTCTCATATCAGCTTCGGCGTCCAGTCTATTGCGATATTTTGTTTTCGTGGCTGCGTAGGTAGAGAATCCTGTTTCGCACAAATATGTAGTTGGGAACGGGAGAAGAATATCCAGAGCCATTTGGCCAAGCATTGCATATTCATCTTGGATTCTGCACCAAAAATCATTAAGAGGCGTCGTTTTGAACAATGACTCCATACTTGTGTCTGATGACATTTCTAAAAGAGATTCATATATCTCATTTGACATGTTTTCAGGCTTTTCCAAGTTGGGTAAAAAAGGATTATGAATCCAGGAGTTCACTTTAATTTTTGTATTGTGTTCTTCGGGAAAATACTTTTCAAAAGATGCGCGCATCGAACTGAGATATTGGACCAATTCTTCAAACACATTATCTTCAAACATTTCTGAGTCGTTTTCGCTAACAAACTCAGTGAGTAACGTAAAACTTTCTATTTCTTTCTTACCAATGCAAATGATCCAAAAATCTAATTTTCTTTTAAAAGTAGTTATTTTATTATAGGCCTGAAACACTGTTGTCTGTTTACCTTGCAATGATAAATTTAATTCGTTAAGTTTTTGAAAGATATCCGCCATAAAAGACAATCGGAACAACCAAGTTTTATCATACAAACGGTCCTTCAAATTAAAAGAAGTATCTGCTGAAAGAAACATTTGTAACTCGGCTCTAAGTTCAAATAGCCTTGTTAAAGTTTTTCCCCGAGACAGCCATCGCACTTCTGTATGGAGCAGCAGTGTTTTATGTTTGCTGCCATAATCTTCACACAATAATGAGAACAATCGGGATTGTAGTGGTCGTGATTTGATAAAATTAATTATTTTTACCGCTTCATCCATAACTAATTTTAGATTAGACGGCATTTGCTTCATCGCAAGTGCTTGTCTATGCAGAATACAATGACTGGAACTACAATTAGGCGCTTTATTTTTCATTCGTGACACTGCTCCTGCTGTTTTACCTGTCATCGCCTTGGCCCCATCTGTACAAATGTCAATGCAATTGTTCCAACTGAGATTATGTTCTTCAAAAAATATATTTATTTTATTAAAAATTTCTTCCCCGGTAGTGTTTGTAAGCAGCGATGAACACATAAGCATGTCTTCTTCAAAAGAACTTTTATATGGATATCTCACAATAACCAGCAGGATAGCCAAACCAGCGACATCAGTCGACTCGTCCATTTGCAAAGCGAATCGTGTATTTTGTAGACGTGTAACTAGTTCTTGTTTGACGTAGCTTGCCAGATCATGGATTCGTCGTGAAACAGTATCGTTTGATAGCGGAACAGTAGAAAGATGCTTTGCAGATTTTTCATCAAGCATACATTTTGTTATGTCTAATACACATGGTTTTATTAATTTCTCAGCGATAGTGTGCGCTTCACCTGCTTGTGCAATGCGATAGCTAACTAAGTATGATGCCTCCGTGGCCTTTTCGTTGGTAGTTTGTGTTACATGCATCATATTTTTTTGACTTTCTAATAACTGATCTTTTTTGCGAACAAAAAATTCTTTATTCTTGTCTTTAGTCTCGGGGTGTACGGTTTCTAAATGTCGACGCAATTTGGCAGGTGCCATGGAACTATTAGGAAGCAGTTTACTACAGAGCATGCAGAGAGGTGAGCCGTTGGAATCAACAAATCCGAAACTGATATAAGATTCATCATACTTCCTTTTTTTCGTCTTTGAAACCGTCGAGCTTGACGTCGTGGCACTCGTGGCATCATCTTCTGGATCGGTGATTGCTAAATTCTCCGCGCGCATTGCTTTTGAACATTCAGCGTCATTAGAAGATGTTGTTGGAACACGTTTAACACCTTTAAGCCAACGTTCCATTCTTCTTTATTTATAATGTTACAAGTCAGGATAGTGGGGTTTAAATAATGCACAATCGTTACTGCGTATAAGAGACTAAATTTAGAACCTACAGGGAAGAAATGTATAAAACTGAGACAACAGAATACAGCAGGCAGTAAAACAATGAACACCAGTTTCTCGCTAGCGAGCTTGTAAGTAGGTAGTAACTTATCGCTCCGAACGCTAATCATCAACTGACGACGCCAACGCGCGATCGCCGCTTTTATACTTAGTCCTAGACTCGATCTCAAATATTCTCGAAAATACTCGAGTCGGCACCTTTGATAAACAAAAAGCAAAAATAAAAACAGAAATTTAAAAATAGCGTTGTAAACAATATCGACTTTATCCTTTGAAGTTAGAGACGAAAGTCGCTAGTTGACAACTATAGCGTCTAATTCAGAGGCGGCTTTTATCAAAGAGACTGAGCGCTTACAAGTATACTACCCGCTCGTTTTAAGTTTGCCGCTGGCGATAGGTATGAGTGTATGACGTTCGAAATTTTTTATTTAATTGTAACAATAAAAATTGTGTACGTTAGATATTTGGGTAAAACTATGACACATTATAAGTTTTGTTGTCACGTGGGGGAGGGTACGCGCATTCCACAGACCGGCAAACTTAGAGCGAACGCGTTGTACAAGTATAAAATTGTTGAGACCAAACTTATGAGATATTGTACCAGCTAATGTAACACAAGCTTATACAAATACAAATAAATAAATAAATAACATTCATAGCGTTTTGTCTCCGCGCGGCCGCGGAGTCCGCACAGCCGCGGAGCGACCAGAGAGAGGTGTTTTGATTTTTTTATTTCTAAATTCTTGCGGAACCCCGACAGAGGTATCACGGAACCCTAGGGTTCCGCGGAACACACTTAGAGTATAGCTGTAATAGAGAATGCAGAGTGGCTACTATTTGCATGATCTTGGAGCAATTGAATTTAAATAAAATTTCCAGCTTGGTTACTATTGTACCAGCTCACCTTAAGAGTATTGCTATATATCATTTTAAAGAGTTGATCATAATATGCATAAGTTCATGTCATTTTGATATAGCATTTTTCGGAGGGCATAATATATGTAATGTGAAATTGACATCAATACAATATCACAATTAGCAAGCATAATTGGCCTGCTGGTCTCACCTAAGCCCGAGTGTTCCAGCAGTGAGGACATGAATAGAAATGTTTTTTAAATAAAATTTATACCTTAGTCTAATGATCAAAAGTTATACACATAAATAAATATCTAATCCAGGAACATGTTTTGGTATGAATCATGTGATTCAAATAATATATTAGGTCCAGTAATAATTCTATGTTGTTTACACTTAAAAGGATTGGAATAAAACATTTCAAACTAAAAGAATCAATATATTACATTTTAAAGTGTGTGACACTGTTATCACAAGAGTAACATGGTTGTAACAGCAACAATAATACACCATTACATCCTAGTCATCCCAGTTGACTTGGTGGCAATCGTGCCATACAAATGTACCTTTCAAGCTTTGTGGTGCTTCCAATGCTAAATATAAAGGTGCACGGGCACCACGTTCCGGAGAGAAATCACCCATCCCATTTGTCATGTCAGTCTTAACAAATCCAGGATGAACACAATTTATAGAAATATTTTTTCCTTGCTCATTAAACTGTCTCTGTTGCACAAAAGTTAATGCTGACAAAGCCACTTTAGACACTTTGTAATCTCCATAATGACCAGCAAATGAAACAAATGCATTCTTGCCATTTTTAGCTGCTTGTAAAAAATCATTCACAAAATCTTTGATTTCATCAACTGTGAGGTTATCTTTCACTAATGTGTCAAGCCATACTTGTTTTCGTATATTTGATAACAACCCCCAATCACTGCTAAGGTTAATAATACGAGCATCATCTCTCAGTAATGGATACAAAATCTTGGATACACTCAACAAGCTCATAAAATTCGTATCAATCAATTTTTTAGCTTCATCGTAGGTTGAAACAGACTTATCGTAATCAAGAGAGCCGGCGTTATTGATAAGAACATTTATTCCAGAATAATTTCTTGAAATGTGGGTAGCAAATTTTTCCAGGCTCTCTTCACTTGTAACATCTAACTGGTGAAATTTTGGATGCAGATCCAGCTCCTCTAATTTTTTTACGGCTTGTAAACCTCTTTCTTCGTTCCTAGCTGTGAGGAACACAGTTCCATTAAACTTTTGACATAATCCTTTCACAATTTCGAATCCAATACCTTTGTTTGCTCCAGTTACTACTGCTACTTTGGTTTCCATTTTATACATATAAATTTGTTCAATATTATGTAGAAAATACTAACATGTAAAAATAAACAAATACATTAAATTTTTAATTTAAACCAAACAAAATCTACTTGTACTTTGTACATTCGGTGTACCTGTTCGGTGATATGATGACAGTGACACTTGCTTGTTTTTGTTTTTTTCTTCGCTATTAGGGAAGGTAAAGGCAAAGCCATGCAGCCATTGTCTCATTTTTTTTACATTACACTGTGTGTGTAACGTATTCTAACGTTTTTAGTCTTTGACACGAAGTTTAAAGAGTTAACTTTCTCGATAAGCTTCTATAAGGTACCTAGACAACGCTACAATGGTGTTGTTGATGATTCTAGCAAAATTCTCTAAACTTAAAATTAAAAAAATGGTTGCCTGTAAAGTCGGTTTTACGGGCGAAGATTTTACGTGACAACGTCTTTTTCTCGGTAGAATATTTATTGATATGAATATAATTAAATTGCACAATAGGAACAAGGAATTGAATGAAAATAAGAATTGCACAAATTTTAACTATAGAAATATATTTTGTTTACTAAAACATTGTACATGTAAACTTAAACTTAACACGAGAGACTCATCGTAACGTTACCGAGCGTTACACTTTTTCATAAGTGACTCCCAGCCGCAACCTAATTTAAGACGTTGTCACGTCAAAACATCGGTCTCTTCTTTTCATTCTGTATAGAGAATGACAAGGATACTCTGCTATCAAATTTAAGTTTAGGTTTACAGAATCATGTCAGAGTCGACACCAATATCATGGCTCAAGTCCTCATGAAACAAAAAGCGCGTCTTATATTTCTAAATTTTTCTTTTGAGAAAGCAAAGGAAACAAAGTCAATACAGCCTTATTTTAAGTTCTTTTCATAAGACTGAGGGTAAACATTCTAGCTTATCGTCGATTCACCTCAATACAAACAGGCATTGTTTTTTAATACAGCTTACCAGAACGCATTGCAGGAAATTCTACAATAATACTGCAAAATTTTAACAATTTTAACTATAGTTTTAGTTAATAAAACTTTATTAAGTCGGTAAACTGTTTTTTTTTTACTAATTTGTATGAGAGATAAAGATCCAATTGTTAGCATCTGTATTTAATATTAATATAAGCAGCGACTTTACCTTTCTAGGAGAACAAATAATAAATAGAAATGGTTTGTTCTGTTAGCTGGTCACGTGACTGAAAACGCCTGGGATTTTTAGTCTGCGCCAATCCCAGGCGTTTTCAGGTTTAGCGTATTTACGACTTCAAAAATAACGTCGTAAACTTCCGGTCGAAGCCATCGTAGTGACATAACATTCTATAGTTTCACCTTTTAACAACCAATTTTTGAGATACAAAAAAAAACGGCTCGTAAACTAAAAATTATTGCTATTTTATAACCATTCAGCACCTGACAGATTTTTAGACTTAAACTATAAACGATACAAATACTTGTTAAAGACAGGTCGATAGAGTATTAAAAACTATAAATAAAGATGCAATTTAGTATGAAAAATCGACCACATGTCACTTAGCCGCACTTTAGTTTGAGGACGGCAGTATAGTGAGTTTTTGCGAGGCAACATAAAACTGAGATTTTTGATTTAGTTTTTTAACAGAAATACACAATGATGAATGTACCAGGCACTCCATAAATATTAGTAAATAAAGTGTTTATATTTTTTTATTTTTTAAGCATGTAACTGCTTGATGTTTAAATCTAAAGTAAATAAAAAAGTGTTTTCTAAAACTTGTCAAATACCCAAAAATTATGATTAGAACTATAAAACTTGCTAATGGACAATTCATAAAGAGTCGAAACGTATCAAAGCGTTAATCAAAAACGTAACAATGCAAATTCACCCTTATCTCCGCGGCGTTATGCACAAATTCCTTGCGAGATAAAGAAGACGCTCGAACTCGCACACATACGACCGAATTCGCGCGTCTAGTCCGCAAAAGTAAGACATGAAGAAGCAATATGTGCATTTTGTTGCAAAGATAAGGGTGAATTTGCTATGTTACATTTCTGAATGACTGCGCTAGTATAACTTTACCATAAGCGGCGCGGAGTGACGTCATTCGACAAGTTACTACCGAAGCTGCTATGTTACTTTTATCCAGTGATATTAAACGGAGTCTGTGAAATTAAAACAAATAATAATCACACTTCCTGCTTTATTGTCTATTCTAATTCCAGGACGAGATCTTTGCGATACGCTCATGAAAAATATTAAAAGGCTTAACTTAATAATTACAATATTAATCATCGCTCTTTGCGATGCGCTCATGAAAAATATTTAAAGGCTAAACTTAATAATTACAATATTAATTATCATAAAATGCATTATGTGATAAACTTATTTACACACTATATTGATAAACACCATTCGTGTAGGTACATTGTCCGTTAGTCTGAAAAACAACCAAAATAAATATGATGTGTTGATTCTCCAAGTTGAGTAAGTGTAAATCTAATCAATTTTAACTGCGCCATAAATTTTTCTTATAAACGTGTATGCCGCAAAGAATCCCATTGTGCCAGTTAAAAGCCAAAAGGTTAACACCATGAGTCCTAAAATAAAAAACAGTGATCAAAATCCATTTCATTTTACAAGTAAAGAATTATATATGTCGCAGGCAATTTGTATGATTCCGCATTTTACAAACGGAATCGCCTGTTTAAAACACTCGCTGTTTTAAAATGTGCCGAAGGCAAATTGGCGACTCGTTCAATAGGGATGATGACGGGGTACAATATAAAAAATAATGGACACGTATTTTTTCTTTGGGCAATCAACCAAAAAATGACAAAATTATAGCGCGTCAAAGTTTGGGAGTAGGGGCTCGTGACGTCACTTTTGAGTGAATTTTCCCTTATAAGTGTACTCAAACGTGACGTCATGCGACTTTTCAAATCAATATATCTCTGCAATGTTTATATTATGTGAAAAAAGAAAAAATACGTGTCCATTACTTTTTGATAATCTACCTGTTAAACGAAGAAAAAAAAAATGGTTGCCTGTAAAGTCGGTTTTACGGGCGAAGATTTTACGTGACAACGTCTTTTTCTCGGTAGAATATTTATTGATATGAATATAATTAAATTGCACAATAGGAACAAGGAATTGAATGAAAATAAGAATTGCACAAATTTTAACTATAGAAATATATTTTGTTTACTAAAACATTGTACATGTAAACTTAAACTTAACACGAGAGACTCATCGTAACGTTACCGAGCGTTACACTTTTTCATAAGTGACTCCCAGCCGCAACCTAATTTAAGACGTTGTCACGTCAAAAAAATAGTCATCATCCCTATTGTTAAAATTTCGACATTGATTGTTTAAAAATAATAGTCGTTCAACTTTGGTGAAAAAAATCATAGCTATTGAAAATTTCTTAGAAGAAATCATTAATAGTGACATAGATGAAGTAATTAGAGCGTAGAACCTTGCCTTGTAACAAACCAAAAAAAACTATTTAACATCCACAATAAAATATCATTAGTTCCACAACGCTACCGCGAGTACCAACGGCAACGGGTTCTGAGTCGTGCTAACGTTACGTTTTTATAAGAAGTATATAAGCACTTGAAAAGATCAGCGGTTATACCGCATCATCCCCGTCTCTGGGGATGATCGCTCAGATGAAGCTTGTAAGGCTCTTCTAGCCATAAGCATGAACTACTGTACTGGAGTTAGTCAGTTAGTTAGTTAGTCAGTAAGAGTCTGACATACCCTTGCAGCCGGCTGTAGGGTATTCATGAGGATTTCACATCCACTCCCTCGCTTGGGAGGAAACAAAAAAAATCGGCGGTTATCATTCGTATTTAAAAAAAAACCCGGCAGCTAAAATATTACTTCAAATTAAAACTGAAAATAAAAAAACAAGTCCAGTAGTCTATAATTCTGTTAAGTAAGGACCAAAGCTACTTTAACAGCGGGGACAAATTATATAACCTAACCTACGCAATACCTGGTTAGAACTTGCTAAAAGGGATCCTGCAACTTTATTGACATATAGTAAAATTTAATTTTGCGAAGATCACTTTGATGTAAGTACTCATTGAATAATATTTTAAGTCTTCATTTATTATCAGTTTTAATAATACAAGTTTTAAGGTTATGTATGTATGACTTTTAGTTGTTTACTACCAAAGACAAATTCACAATCATAGCGGATGTGGCGAACAGCGTTTTTAGTGATTAAAAAGCATAGACTATAAATTATTTTTAAAAATTAAATTTCTACAGCAATATTCTGCTTTTATGAAGTGAAATCGATATATTTAGGTTCCTTAGACCAAATACTTTAAGAAATAAATAGGGAGATTTCTTTTGGCATTTTAATCCACAACTTTCCTGGAGTCTTCAAGGATGTGTTTTTACATTTTCGTACACTACAATAATGATAATTACTACATTTTTCGTGGTATTTATTTAAGGGGGGGAAGGGGGAGAACAGTGTTAAACATCTTGCTGGCCCCAATTGTCATCCTCACCTACTCGTGGTCCTCCCTGTTAGATAACGAACGAGGCTCTGGCGACCGAGCAAAGCGGTATAACCACACACCCAACTGGGCAACTAGCTGGAAGAGGTCTCAGCTGCCTTGGGGTCTAAATCACCCCAAAAATTCTGGTACGGAAAGCAATGGGAAATTACCGTTACTAATATCCCTTGTAAACAACATGAGGCACTTAAAAAGGAATGGTTTGTCATGCCACCCGGCTGACCCCCGGTGGTTCCGGGTCCCATGAAAATGGCTACCGGCTGCAAGACGCAAGACGCAGCAGGCTACTTGCAGAAACTGGACTACTGTTGCGGAAATTAACGAGCAAACCATTATAAAACATGAAACTCTCATGACAGGCATATGGAACGTGCGGGGCCTAAACAAGGCGGGTAAAATGGAAACAGTGGAGCGGGAGATGGTCCGATGTGGGCTAGAAGCATTAGTTCTAAGCGAAACGCACCTAAAAGAAAGTGGTCACTATTACTCAAATAAAGGGGTCACCGTCATCAACTCGGGGTCATGCAGTAACAGCTTCATGGGCTTGGGGAGCGCAATGATCGGGGACAAATGCTTCTAGACTTCTGTGCCGAAAATGATTTAAGCATAATGAATACTTGGTTTAAACAGCATCCGCGTAGACTTTATACATGGGTATCCCCTGACGGAAAGCACAGAAACCATATCGATTACATCACGATAAGTAGAAGTTGGAATTCCTCTATTCTTTCCACCAAAACAAGACCTGCTGCTAACAGCATCCCTAAAAATCCGACTAAGGACACCAAAGCGCAACGTACCCAAAAAGACGTTGAACCTTTCCGCAGAACTGCAAGGCGAGTACGGAAAACGAGTTGAATCTCGTTTAAAAGACCTAGACACACTTCCCTCCGAATCACCAAACGCTTCATGGATAAAGCTAAAATCAGTAATTTTGGAGACAGCTAAAGAGGTAATCGCAACAAGCCCTAACTCCTTGAAGCCAAAGGCTGAGTGGATAAGCGCTGAGGCATGTTCTGCTATAGAAGAAATGAGATGCGTGAAAGGAAACGGTTTGAGTTCCGAAGCTGCGAGGGCACGATATTGTGAACTTCATAGCACAGTGCAAAGACTATGCAGACGAGATAAAAACGCCTCAATCGACGCCGTATGTCAGGAGATGGAACAATCTGCGAGTCGTGCACACACTAAGGACATGTTTGCAAAGGTGAAACTTCTGGCTAGGGACTTCAAACCGAAGAACTGGACGATTGTGGACGAAAAGGGCTCCCCTCTGATTGATAAAAATCTTGTGCTTGAGAGATGGCGACAGTAATGTCAACAACTGTATAAAGAGAGCAGTGACGCTGCCGACTAACTAGTGCAATACAACGAGGAAGAACCATACATCTTTCTTCATGAAGTAGAAGCTGCACTCGCGCATCTTAAGCCAAAAGCATGCGGTGGCGATGGTTTGTCCGCGCAGATGCTCAAGTCAATGGGCACAGAGGGAACTGGGCTCATGCATTCCATCTGCCAAAAAGTCTGGAAAACTGGAGTTTGGCCTGAGGACTGGACGGAGTCGGTGGTGGTCCCGCTGCACAAGAAAGGGTCGACGCGCAAATGTGAGAACTACCGCACTATCTCGATTACATCCCATGCAAGCAAGGTGCTCCTGCACATCATCAATAAACGTCTAGAAAACTACATTGGCGGACAAATCTCAAAGGAACAGGCAGGGTTTGTTAAAGTCAGGGGAGCACGGGAGCAAATTTCAAACATGAGACGCATGGTAGAGAAGTGCCGCGTGTTCAATGTTCCAATGGCTCTGTGTTTCATTGATTACGCGAAATCCTTTGACTGAATCAGCTAGAACAAAATGTTTAGCGTAATGAGCGAGATGAGTGTTCCGGAACACTTGACCTATCTAATTCGGAAACTGTACCTTGACGGAAGGTCCAAAGTACGTATAGAGGATTCTGAATCGACTTTTTTCCGAACTAACCGCGGAGTAAGACACGGTTGCATCCTTTCGCCACAACTTTTTAATCTCGTCGGCGAACACATTATGCGAAGAGTGCTGGAGGGGTGGGATGCTGGTATAAAAATTGGCGGACACCTTATTAATAACCTACGCTTTGCAGATGATACTACCATAATTGGAACCAACGAAAGTGATCTTGCTGAGCTTTTGCAAAGAGTAGAGACAATAAGTGCTGATTACAGTCTCAAAATAAATCGTGCCAAAACTAAGCTGATGTTTGTAGATGGAGCGGGCACACTACAAATAACCTGGGAGCTGCAGGATCTGGAAACCGTAAAGGAATTTTTTACCTTGGTTCTATGATTACCAGTGACGGCGACTGCGAAAAGGAGGTTGTAAGGCGAGCTCAGATTTCAAAATCGGCTGTAAAGCGGTTAGAAAAGGTTTGGAGGCTTATCTTTTCTATATTTCTGTACGCTTCAGAGACCTGGACGCTAAAGGCACGCATTCGAACCAAGATCGACGCGTTTGAAATGTGGTGCTGGCGGAAAATGCTAGGGGTTTTTTGGACAGAGCACCGCACCAACATTTCTGTTCTCTCCGAACTAGGCATAACATCCCGCCTGTCTATTGTATGTATGCAGCGACTTCTTCAGTACTTCGGACACGTGGCCCGACGAGAACCAGACAATCTTGAAAAGCTCATCGTCGTAGGTCATGTGAAAGGAAAAAGGATCCGCGGAAGATGGGTGATCTTCCCGATGCCCGATGGACTGATGTGGTCAAAAAAGTCTGCCAAACAGACTAGTGTTGCCCAAATTCAGTCTTGGTCTTGCAGTCTTGGTCTTGTTCTTGCATTTTTGCAAGACCAAGACCAAGAACAAGACCGCGTATTTTTAGCAAGACCAAGACCAAGACTAACCGTGCAAGACTCTTGCGTCTTGCAGCTAGGACTTAGCGCTATTTCACGGAATAGTTAGGTATAACAGTTCGGTGTATAGGTATGCTTAGGAATTCTGTGAGACGCAAAAAACTGTATCAAAGAATATGAAAAACTGGACCTATGCGCATTACGACCAATACCATAAACATACAT